AACTGGAGGGGTAAAGGTGAGGAGAATTGTAAGCTGAGATAAGAACAATTTCATAATTAGAGCAAAAATAAAATTAAAAAAATAAGAATATAACATAAGAAGAAGAATATATCTATATCTGAGTGATGCAGAGTACAATTGCTCACCACCTGCTGGTAACGATCCTGGAGGAGTGAAAAGGAACCCTGAACCCAAAACTGCAATCCTGGAAAAGTGAGCCTGAGCAATTCCCAAGAGAATCAGCCCCTTTCTGGTCAGCCCCAGTTAATAAACTGACCATGATGTGATATGATCTGGAATCATATCACATCATCTCACTGGAACACCCAACTGTCAGTTCTGGGTTTTACTGACTACCCACTTTTCTTCTCCACTCCCCCCTTCCAGTTCTCTCTTCTTGGAAACTGCCCCAGCACAGTGTCCGTGTAGTTCTCAACACTGTTCTCATAACAATCCTCACTGAAACCAAAGCACAGCACTTGCTAGCTACTGAGAAGAAAATTAACCCTATCCTAGCAAAACCAGGACAGTTTCCCTTCCCTCTTCCATGGCAGGTGATACCATCCTGCACGTCACAGATAAAGCCAACAGTTTCCTAGAGCAGTTGTCCAAGCTCCACGACAACTGCACCCACTGTGTGTGACACCCCAAGGAGACAGCAACCACACCGACAGTTCCTCGCCGTGACGGTCCCCGGGTTACACCTTACCTCATAGCTGCTGTGCCCTTTGCCAACTTTCTTGCCAGAGAGGTTCATGGCATCTCGGGCCCAGTTATCTACCAGCTTGTGCAGGTCATCTGTGAAAGTCCCTTTCCGGCTCGAGGCAATAGCAGTGGGCTGAGACTGGGGTGCTTGGCTGTTCACTGTCGCCCCGACTGTGTTAGTGCTGCTGGTCCCTACAAATACAAAAAAAATAATAATTAAAAAATGGGAATCAAACCTTAAAGATCATCCTTCTCTAGTGAACTCACTGACCGTGGCGATGGGACATCAACAGAGAGCCAGTTAAAGTGCCATGCAGATTAATTAACTCTACGTTTCAATTCCAGGACACGCTGAAGTGGGAACTACAAGGACTCCTACGGGCATTTTCCCAGCTTAAGAGCATTTCACAGATACGTTTGGCTTTTCAACAAAGTGCTGCAAAGTCACCTTAGGAGGGGAAGGGCAGCAGCCTACAGGCCTTTGTAGGGGAAAAAGGAGATGAGGTTTCAGCACCGAATGACGGTACAGTCACGTCATTCTCTCACCCTACACCTTTTAATTAGCAGTGACCGCTATCGGCACAAGTCAATTCCACCTTGGAAGGAATTCCACGATGCTGGCTGCTGAATAAGGAGCAGTACAATCAGCATCACCAGCTGCTCTGTAGCAAATGATCTCCACTTTGTAAAATGAAGAGAAAAATTCACCCAGATTACACACACACACACACACACACACACAAAAAGCCCCAGTGAGAAACAGCAACTGTTGGTTCCAACAGCTGCCGTGCTGATGTTCTTGAGGAGAACCAGATGGGATTGTCTTCATCCACCAAACATCCGGGATAAGCAGGGGAATTCTGCACTGCATTAAATATTTGCTTTTTGCCTCTGAAACCATGTTTTGGGTTTTTTTTGCCATTATGTTCAGACTTCCTACGTCAGAAGAACAAGAGTTTCAGATGCAAACAACTCATACCACTTGAAGAAGGCAGCAGGAGGAGTAATTCCTCAGATGGGCTTTGACATGTTGTTCTATTCATTGGGCTGATTGTAAGAACACAAAAATCCCTTCACACAGACACCAGGTTTTGGTTCTGCCAGAAAGTTTGCTAAACATTATCCTCTAAAACAACAAAAAAATTACCTAGAAGCTTTGTTTTGGAGAGCAACAGGCAACTGCACTCAAGTTTTTTCAAAGACAAACCTCGTAACAGGAATCAAAGAGATTGTATATTATTAAGTATCCTTAATTCTCAGCAATATTGCAAAATACCCTGATTTCCAGATGTGGAAGTGACAGTTTACCACCAAGGCAGAGTTTTTTTCTAAAGGCAGAATAAATCTGGATTTTTCAAATCCATTTAGTACAAAACCAAGTAAGTACCTGGCCACTGCAGGGCTAAACCCAGTGCACCCCGTGAGTGCCCATCCTCACCTGCTCGGTGCCTTGGCTCTGGCTGAGATGGAGTTAATGTTCCCCACAGCAGCCCTCAGAGCGCTGTATTAGTAGCTAGAAAGGTGCTGATAACACCCTAGGGTTTTGGTTACTGCTGAGCAGTGCTCACACAGCATCAAGGCTGGCTCTCCAACATTTCCCCCCCATCTTGGGAGGGGACACAGCCAGAAGAGCTGACCCAAACTGACCAAAGGGATATTCCATACCACGTGATGTCTGCTCAGAAATAAAAGCAAAGAGACCAGAGGGGGAAGCGAGGGCATTTGTTATTTACATTTGTCCCCTGAGGTAACTGCTACGCGTACGGAGCCCTGCTTCTCGGGAAGTGGCCAGGCATTGCCTGCTGAGGGAAGTAGAGAATAAATAGTTTGTTGCTGTTCTGCTTCCACACGTGTGGCTTTGCTTTGTTTCTATTAAACTGACTTTGTCTCAACCCACCAGTTTGGGTTGTTGTGGGTTTTTCTTCTGTCTTATTTTCTCCCCTCTCCATCCTACTAAGGAGGGGGGTGATAGAGCGGCTTGGTGGGCACAGGGCATTCAGGCGAGGTCAACCCACCACAGCTGGTTCTCAAAGCTCCTCAAACATTTCTACTCGCTCACTCTGAAGACTGCAACAGGGAAATCCAAGAAAACCTGAGTTTATGGCAGATGTTTCTGAAGAAAACTGATTCAAAGCAGAGCATCGAAAATGCCCGCAATGAAAATCATCTCCCCATTGCAAAGGCCAAACAATAGAGTCACCATCTCTTCCCTGATGGCCACCTCATCTGTTCTCCTTTCCCTGGCTATCAGCCACGTTCCTCACAACCACTCTATCCAAGAAAGAACTGCTTCCAAATCTCTGCAGGAATGTTTCCTGTTGAGGAGTGAATTGGGAAGGTGATGTACTTACTATGCAGGACAAACAAGCACAGTGTGACTGCCTCTAGTAGTGCTGAGGAGGGAAGGACACGTGTCCCTCCCACCAGTTCCAGCTCAAGCATGGAAGTGGCTCCCTGCGTGGGTGCCTGCAGGTGGGGCAGCAGTTGGTACAAGCAGACACATGCAGCAGGACGCATGAAAAGGAAAGAAGAAGGTTCCCTGAGCAGGGTGTGCAGCTGCAGCTCAGAGGAAGAGTAACAGGAACAGGCTGGAAGGTGGTGAGGAACATCTACAGTGAAATAACAAGAACCTGAAGCATGCACCATGTGGAAAGGTCTCACAATACAATTATTGAGTAAGAGCAATGATTGTGAAAGGTGAAATTAAAGACAAATGAGGCAAAAGCAACCAAAAGGCACTTGAGGGGAGCGGCCAAAACCAGTGACAATCACATTCCACCGTGAGGGTGCATGCAGGGATTGACACACTTGCTCTCATCCTCTTCATGATGGACAGTATCTGCTTTTGATGTTTCTCATTTCCAGTTTAATATGTAAGGACACTGGATCCTGGACCTATGCTGGAGAGCTTCCTCAGGCCATGGAAGGGAGAGAATTAATCAAGGGAGACACTACAGTGCATTCAGTTGAAGATGTGGAAGTTCGTTTAAGTGTTTGGAAAAGGACTGGACTGGTTCAGGCTGGGAAAGGTGGGAGCTTTGTCTCCCAAAGTGATTTTGCTCAGGAGTTCCAATCTCAGATCACTAACAGAGGCAGAGCAGCCTACACCATGATAGGTGAGCTAGACAATTAATTACAGCTCCCACGTGGTGTCAATTTCAAGAATGACTTCTCAGGGATTTCCCACTTGAGCCTGCAGAAACTGCCATCCAGAAGGGTCTGAAAAGGAAGTGCTTCAACTTGGAGCGTTCAATGGAAACAACCCCCTACATTCCTACAGCAGCCGTCCCCAGTTCTGCTCTGGCACAAAGGATCTCAAGTGAAACAGGCTTCTCTTTCTCCAGCCTGCTACCTAGAACACCTTCATTCTGCCCTTTTATTCCCCCCTCCCCAGAAACCAGCATTTAAAAGACACTTTTTAAAAAAATAAATATTATATGAACACACACAGGCTTTTCTAAACATCTCTTGCTTTGGGAGATACACTGGAGAGCTCTGATGGCTCACTCTTACTCTTTGGAAGTGTTGAAGGAGTGTCTGCAATTGGATCCATCACTGAGGTACCAAACCTCATTAGATTTTTAAACGAACCAGCTGCTCAGAGGTACAATCCCAGCACATTACAGTGAGCAGCTGACCCTGATGCTCAGTCCGCTCTCGTTAGCGACGAGCAAAGAGTTCCAGAGTGAAGGGGAGGTTCAACCTGCCTCCCCTTCTCGGCAAGAGTCAGAGCCAGACTGTTCAATATATAAGGACAGAGTGCACGTTCCAGGGTGTAACATAGACAGATGCTGTGCTGGAGACAGAGTCAGGGAGGTAAGGCCTCAGTGACCAGAAAAAAGCTGATGGATAAATAGCTTTACAATCAAGAATCAAGAGAGAAGAGAAAGAAGATAATTACTACAGAGCTGGTTGCAAGGACAGACTTTTTTCACCATCTTCCCTGAAGCACAAAGAGAGAGTCATTTGTTAAAGATAAGAGAAACAGTGAGAAACGTTTAGTATCAGCAAACAGTACAAAAAAGCTTGGTGAGAAACAGAGGACACAGCGCAGCAGGGCTCTTGCAGTCACTACAGGGACGTTCAAGGAAGAACCCAAAGGCTGGTCTGACGGTTCAATCAGTTGTACTTTCAGAGAAGTGATCCAACCTCCTACATTTATTCTTCACAATTCCCAGACCGCAGTGAAGAACCTCAGGAGGCGTTACTGTCACAACTGGTTGTAATTGCAAAAGGAAAAGCAAGTACATCCTCTATCTTTTTGTCAGGATTTTAACAACTATCAGAGTTCGACCAGTTCACAACATGAGAAAAATTTATTTGCTAGGCCAAGTGCTTGTAGATTGTCACCCTGTTTCCTCAGATCCGTGGGACAGTTGAGACGTTCCCTGCTGCCAAGCTGTACCGCTCTGTTTCTCCAGCTGCACAGTTAAAAGCATCAATTACTGCACTGTTTCCTCAATGCCACTGATTTTAACCCAGCATCTTCTCCAGTTGTCGCTCTCCACATCAGCCTGCAACAGCATTTCAAGGACAAGACTCCAAGGAAGCAATAAGCCAAGTGCCAGGCCAAGCTGTGCCATGCCAGGCATGACCTCGCCTTTGCAGGACAGCTACAACACACTTTTCAAAAGCAATCCACTTCCCTTAGCACCAGTCCCGTAAGGAAAAGAGACACATGCCCAAGTACTCTTCCAGCCAGATGATGGTCAATTTGCAGCAAGCCAAGGCCGTGTAAGTAAGTGATACTCTCATCTATTCAATCCATCGCCAAGTCTAGAAACAGAATGGCTGTTCTTTCTATTTCCCTACCCCCCTTCTCCCCCCCCTCTGCCCCCCCAAAAAAAAGACAGGTCAGACTAAAGATGATTTTAAAGAGTTAGCTTTGGTAAGAACTTCACTTCTTCCAAGAAAGGAGCCATAAATCTTGAGACTGCAGACGTCAGTGCACATCTGCACGTGAATATACCGAGCGACCAGACTGAAAGCTGCTCCATTGGAAGAATTCAATACCAAATCCAATGAAGTGGCATAGAGGTATGATAAAAACTGAACAGCCAAGAAAAAACACCCCCTCCCTCTGACTCCCCCCCTTCCCTTCTCAGAGGATGGAGCTGGTTGCGTTGCAGCTGTCTCTGCAGTAGGCCAGGTCCACCTCTGTACCCACCTCTGCCTCAGCTGTGCCACTGCCAACTGCAGCCAGGCAGATGCTGCAGGTGTCAGGGACTGTCATGCAGCGCAGCGACTGAAGGGCTCTGTACAGCATTTAAAGCTTTCTCATACCAAAGTCATTCCAGAGGGTGGGGAAACAAATGTTAAACACTGAAAGGGTCCAGCCTGCAGAAGCAGCATGGGATGTTGCAGAACTCCCAATAAGAAGCATTGTCACATCAGCAGCCTCAGCTCAAGCATGTCATTACTTCAATCACATCAGAAGTTTGAGGCTCTCTTAAATCTGGACTAATAATATAAATACAAATGAAAAGGATTTTGAAAAGGGCTGCGAGGTAACTCGTGAGGGTTGACAGGACATCTGATGATGTCTGTTTACCCACCTTTACTGCTATTTGTGGCATATTTGTGGCATATCAAGGGCAGTTAATAACAAAACAAGGGGAAATGGGTTTAAGTTGAAAGAGGGGAGGTTTAGATTAGATATTAGGAGGAAGTTCTTCACTGTGAGGGTGGTGAGACACTGGAACAGGTTGCCCAAAGAAGCTGTGGCTGCTCCTCCCTGGAAGTGTTTGTGGCCAGGTTGGATGAGGCTTTGAGCAACCTGGTCTAGTGGAAGGTGTCCCTGCTGCTGGCAGGGGGGTTGGAACTGGATGAGCTTTAAGGTCCCTTCCAACCCAAACAGTTCTATGATATTTATTGTATCTCAAATTCACAGTAAAAACTTTTAAACCTGGGCCCATTAGTAGGTAAGGATCTTTTGAGTTTGACAAAAAATATTCTCTAAGTATTTTTAAAACCCTCAGCACTTCAGTCTTTAGCTATCCATCTGCTGAGGAACAGAAGAAGTCAATATTAACTTGCCTACAGGTGGCACCAATGCTCTGCACTATAATCAGCACTACTAGTGCTGAGAACATGGAAAAAACACATCCCACTTGCCCAGCAAGCACACTGCTGGAGGAAGCCGACTCACTCCTACCACCAGTAATGCCCAAAGGAATAATTTGGAAAACTAATCTTGCTGTTCTACTAGAAAGACTACCTGCCCTCCAAGCCTCGTGTCAGCTATACGCACGCTGAAGCGTCATTTCCAAGGCAGGCCGAAAGAAAATGCCCATGGACCCACGACTTAGAATCATAGAATGGTTTGGGATGGAAGGGACCTTAAAGCTCATCCAGTTCCAACCCCCCTGCCAGCAGCAGGGACACCTTCCACTAGACCAGGTTGCTCAAAGCCTCATCCAGCCTGGCCGAGAACACTTCCAGGGAAGGAGCATCCACGACTTCCTTGGGCAACCTAAGACTTGCTAACTCTCCCCAGTGTCTGTCATTTCACTGAACTGTCCTGAACAAGTTTCCACCAAGAGCTTAGAGAAAATGAGAGCTCGTTATTATGAGTTTAACAACAGAGAATACCTAACACGAGAACCCAGACTTCTAAAGGTGTGCCAAGATCAGCTTAGCTGAGCCATGGGATGGGAGGGAACACAAGGTGGCAGATGTGAATGGGCTGCGTGAAACAGATCCAAGCAGCAGAAAAAAAACAACAAACAAACAAACAAACCCAAAACAAACAAACAGACAAAACAAAACAAAACAAAAAAACAGACAAGGGAAGGAGTAAAGGTGTTACACACAAAGAGCCAAGCAGGGCGTACTCAGAAATCGTGTCCTCCTGCCACCAGGCTTGAACGTCACTCTCTCAGATGCACAGTTAAACTTCGCACAGCCTGTGAGAAAACAAAAACGGGAAGAACAGAGAAAGGAGAGGAGAAGAGACAGAACACCACTACAAGATGTTAGCAACTTGGAAGTTGGAAGGGTGAAATGCATTAACATGACACACAAGAATAAGCCTCAAAGTGTGGACCAAAGAGTACGTAGACAATATAAGGTGTGAAGGAACTCCCCTCAATACCTCCAGACATCAGGCTGAGTTTGCAGTGCTACCCTCCAGTACATAACCCCAACAATAAGGTTGCAATCTACAGGAAAGCCAAATTCGGGCAAAAGTATCCAATTATAAAAGGTACTGCACAACTCTAGATACAGGGAGATGATTTAAGTAGATCCAAAATATTTGAAACAGTTCATTAAAAAACCTCTATGGAAAATATAAAAATATATTTTTAAAAAAATCTCTTTCTTCCAAAAAGTCTGTTTCCATTTGCTGTCTGTACTTCTCCAATTTCAAAAACCCGCATTAGAATTGATGTATTCAACCTGGTTATGGCAAAGCTTCTCAAAAAGATGTTCAAGGGGGGGAAAAATGGAACAGCTAAGTTCAGAGAAGTAAAAGAATCATGCTATCATCCCCTTAATGAAAAAAAAAAAGCCCTCCCTACCAAACAAATCACAGCTATGTGAGAAATTATTGGATAACATATTAACTAATAACAAACAATCCACAACTTGAGTAAATGAACAATTTATTATTCCTACCATTCCACCCTCCTACATTAACTCATCCTTCCAGGATAATTCTTTAACTCACAATTGCAGGACATGAGCCTATTTTACCTTTTATTGGTAAAAATTCCATTGACAGAAACATCCAAAGCAGTTTGGAAGTCTAAAAGGACACCAAGTCTTCTGAAATTTCCCACCATTTCTATGGGTTTACACCAAGGCTGTTCTGCCCCTTCTTTAGTCTCACTTCACATTTGCCCACCCCATGCTCATCTGTCTCCTCATCCTTTCAGCCAACACCTTTCCCCCAGGTCAGCAAAATACTGCTTGTTGTCACCATACTGCACGCTCTTGTCTTCTCCTTGGTGCTTTCATCACAGCAGATGGGGCCATGCTCTATCTATTCATTACTTCAACAACCTCACATTTGGACCTATGTGAGAGGGTAGAAATCTAGTAGGAAAAACCCTTCTCAGCCTCCATGCATCGGTGGGAGGCTACTCTACTCTATGGATTAAAAAAAATAATCAAGTATCATCAAGTTGATCATTTATTCACCAGTAACAAAGGTGTAAGACTCTACAGTGATTCCATTTAAAGTCTTACCTTGGCCTGGTGCAGAAAGGCTTGGTACTGAAAGGGCACCATCACTGGTAAAGGCAGAGTAGAGGTTTTCACTAGAAGGTGAAGGTTTGAGGGGCTGTAACAAATGGTTCTGCCCAGTCTCTTGCACACTACCAGGAGGATGAAGAGTTTGCTGCGGGGGCAGGACTGACGGTGCGCTTTGAGCTGACAGATTGCCTAGAGGAAGAAGGAAGGCAAAAAGAAAAAAACATTCAACATTTCAGTTTCCCCACATTATTTTCCAAGCTTCTGTCATTGTTCCCAAGAGACAGGAGAAAAAAAAAACCAGAGGAAAGTCTGACTGGAACATTTACTAGGCAGTGAAGTCACTACTGAGTAACTCAAACAATCAATTGAGCTATTACACTAGTGACACAGGAAAAGGTGCTGGGGTGGTGAGGGGGTGGAAAAACCTAACGCCCTCTGGTCAAACATGACAATCCAGGCAAGAGAGAGGGAGGCAGGGGAGGGAAATACTCCAGTTTCTGAGAAAGCAGTAAGTAAATAAGAATTTTGCTAGTCTTTTAAGTCAACTCTGTTAGCTCACTGTCACATGCTCCCCTATCGTAAAACAAAACAGAAGTGAGCAGCCAGGGGGACTGGATACAGAAATTGCAGCATGACGTGGAATTATCAAAGCGATGTGCAGGGAACAGTAACAAATATTTCTGCTCACAGCACTGGCCCTCCAATATTGTTTACTCAATGCTACAGGATTTAAGAGTCTACAATTACCCAGCAGCTGACCTCCACATCATTCAAACAGTAAATACAACTATTTTTCTGAGTTCTGTTTATAATAAAAATGGTTTTAGTAAGAAAGGAAGCCTTGATAATTGAAACTGCTCCTCAATTTAAGTACAAAAAAACTGCAACTCCATTTAAAAAAACTTTACTACTTTAACATCCATCAATTGTGACTAAGTTTCTGAAGTGTAAGTGTAAGTCTAAGTTTCTTAAGTGCTACTAAAGTAGAAAACAAGAAAATCACTGAAGATGATTGAAGAGACCAGCCACATTCTGCAAAATTAGATCCAGGAGGCAATGAGAACAGTTTCTCTTAAATAAATAAATAATTTTTTCCCACTGTATTGTAAATTTACAATTTTCACCCCAGAAAGGAGATTCCTCAATCCTCCTCGTCAGAGCCCTGTGTCTAATCTCTTGCAGAACAACGTAACAGCATCTTTCAGTAGACTGCAAAAGTCACAAGTCACTACCAAACAGCAAAAACAATTTCAAAAATGATCCAGTAATCCAGGCAGTGGAGGAACTGGGACAAACACCCCTCCAGAAAAGACAATGTAGAGAGACAGAGACACACAGGCATAGATTTAAGAATGAGAGATAGTACCTTGTCTGTTTTATCTACTCAAAAAATGAGAGAAAGCTTTACCTGATAGCTGAGGGCTCTTATTTCCCTGGGAGCTGCTACGACTGGACTTGCTGCTTTTTCCTTTAGTAGGTCTTCTCCTCCTTCCTGAAAGGGGTGCAGCTGGGGGAATAATTACTGCAGGTGGGGCCTTTCCCAATTTCATGTACAGTGACTCAATCTCCTGCTTCTGGCGACTCTGCAGCTCCTGGATCTCTTTAAGGTGCCTAACAAGTTACAAAAGAGTATGACTTACCAAAATTATATGTATATACATACATGCATGCATACAATCCCTCCCCTCCAGTCAAGCTTGACCAGCTTCTTCAGTCAAACTCCCATTAACATTTAAGAAAGGAAGAAATAAATCTTTCCCCGCAAATACCTGCTGAAGGGACATGGCAGAACAGCTGCCACTGTCCATTGTGCTCTAACCCTGGCTAGAATTCCAACAAAAAGTTCATCATGTTGTAATCATAAAACCAGGATAAATGTCAGTACAAACAAGAACATATACCTACTGTAAAAGACCAAATCATTCAGCATTAAAATGCTACAAGAATAGCTAAATTACTCATTTTCTGAGACTTCTACATTTGTAGTGCTGTAGTTTTTTCAGAGCAGTTGCATAAAAAAAGACTTAAAATTGCCAGCTGCCCTTAAAAAAAAAGGCTCAACTTTCAATATAAATAAAGTAGTAGGTCACATTGCTTGACTTCTAAATTATTTTCTAAGCCAACAGGGATTCTTCAGGAGAAAGGAAATCATTAGAAATGGAGATTTCTGTGTCATTTTCAAATGAGACACCACTATTGCCATGAACTACTAGATTTCTGTCACGTGCAAAAGCTTCCACACATCTGCAGTCTTATCAACAGTGCAGCAATCAATCTACATATAAACACACGGCAAGACTACAGGTTAGAATTAAGCACAGCAAATGTATACACTTTTTATTATTATTATTACATACTATTTTCCTCATCAAAGAATCTTACTTCCCACACAAACACTGGCAATGGGTCCTGACACTTAGTAAAGGTTTAGTCTTTTAAAGAAGTTTACTCTTTTTCTTTGTGAAAAGTAAAGCTCGGATGAAAGGAAAAGAAATTGATATTAAGCCTGTTACATGTATTTCATACACAACCACACAAGAAGAAAAGCCTTACTTCTCCCGTAACCGACGGAGTTCTAACTTCAAGTCTTCATCTTCAATATCCGACTCATTGTCGCTGCTCATATAGGAAGAGTTGAAGGAGTTGCTAAGGCTCTGAACAGGGAGGCTGCTCTTCGACCCCAGAGGTTGGAGGGAGTCTGGACTCCCCGAGCCATCATCCAAATCCTTAGCCATCCCACTTAAGAAGGCAGCCTCCGGTTCAGAAGATGGACCATTCATGTGTGGGGACTCTCTTGACTCCAACTCTTTCTTTGGAGCTGCAGATGAAGAAGCAACTTGTTCCAAGTCCACAGACAGAGGAAGAGTCATGGGCTCCTTCTCTGCACAGGTGACCTCATCCTGAGTCTTTGACACTGAAAAGCGTCCCACTTGATCCGTTGTTGTTGTTACCTGAAAGCGCCCGACCTTAGTAGGCTGACCAACATCTACTGGTAATTGTAGCACAGGACCTGTCTGAGGAATGCCATCTACCACATCCGAGGAAGAGTCAGCAACAGCCTCACTTTTCCGACTGCCAGCCTGCTTTACCAGTGTACTCTCTGGGCTGCTGCCAGAGAGAGATGAAGAATCAGTGGAGGTTGTTTCAAATTGCACCGGCTTGCTTTCAGGTTTGTCACCCTCTTTTAGCACATCATCCACTGCCACGGATACCTAGAATAGAAATGCAATCATGCAGACTTCCTTAGTTCTTCCTTAAACATCACACTTTTTATTTATATTAAGAGTAAGATGCATCTGAGAGGGCAAAATAATTCATTTCCTTGGTATGCCACAAAGCCAGCTACTGCCTCCCTCCAAGTAACACAGTCACACAAAACAGTACTTCTAAGTGAGCTGGAGGATTGACTCCAAGAAACCCAGTAGATTCAGAGGGGACTTCCTTCACAAACAGGACATGATACAGTGGACATCCAAGCATTGTTAAGCTAAAAAACACGTAACATTAAAGACAAAGGCCAAGAGTTACACAGCTGAGGTCTTGATGTGATGAAATGCTGTATTCACCATTCCAGACCTGCATCACCTAGTGCAATCTCTACCCTGAATGAAAACAGCATCCGCACAAAGCACTGCATTCACAAGCTCAACATGGACATCTTCCTCCAACCATGAGGCACACTGAGCAGGAACTGCTCAGCAACGATCCTGTATCAACAACCAAACCAGTTTAACATCTCCTACCTGAAACCGTCCCATCTTGAGGACACCAGCTCCTGCTGTGGTAGCCATAGCACTGCTCTCTCCACCACCTGATCCTGAACCTAAAGAAAAGGAGAATGGGATTAAGGAGAAAATGAGCAACAAATTATGTGAACTCCAACCATATCTTTTCAGCTACTTAAAACTCAACTATTTGAATTCATGGAACTTGATCTCTTTTTTCAACTTTACCACACATAATATCAAACTGCAATATTAAAGAACTTTTCTATAAGGTTTCTTTCTATAAAGTTTCCTTGTACAGTATACTTGCCAAAAGTGCACTTCTAGGTAGCATTAAAAATCCACACTGATTTCAAACATGGATGTGAAATAGCCAAAGAATAAAAAACAGATCTGAAATTTATGTAAGAAAAAGCTTATTTTAATTCACTACCCACACCGACTACCTAAATTTCACAAACACTCCGGATAACTTATTAATGGAGAAGTGTTAAGCTGAATAAACCACATTTACTCAAAGCAGCCTGAGGCTTTCAAAGCTGGATTTTTAGGTGTCAGCTCCTAATTTTGCTGCTGTACACACTGGCAGTATAAGGTTACCAAGATGAGAAATAACTTTCTATTTTTATATCAGTTCCATTGGACAGTTTGCTGTGGTTATTAAGCAACTTCCTAGTTTGTTTACTTTTACCTTCTAAACTTTAGCAGGCAAAACCCAACTCATTTTCTAGCAGACAAATGAGTACTACTGTATAGTTCACTACCAACATACCAAAATGGGAATATTTTATTTTCCTACTGCTTTTATTAGCTTTTGAAGGTTTGTCACTGAACTTCAGAGGCACATGCAAGTAAAATGATGTTTACTAGATAGTTCAGAAATAATCTTAGTTCAACATTAACAGTTTATTTAAAAAAAAAAAAAAAAAAAAGGAAGATTTTTAAAATCAAAACACTTCAGGGAATAACGATAGGGAAGTCTCAGATTATTTTGCAAGTTGTTGGGTTCATCCCCCAGCCCTCCCCAACAGTTGAACTCAGACTGATTGAACTCAGAACTTTCAGAACTTTAGATCTGAAAGTTATTGACCATTCAGACTTCAACTGTTGATTATCCAAGTCAATCTTAGTTGTTCTAGGAGGGAGTTCAGTTTCCTTACTACCTTTCTTAAGTTTTTAGTAGTTTAATCTTTGTTTCTCTATTTAAATAGAAAGGAAACACTCTTTGGTTGGGAAGAGGTATCCTACGTACAGAACACAGCACGATGACGCAAAAGGAGAAGTCGCACTGTCGTTGCCAAGAATGTAACACAAGACAGAAAACAGTTCTTTAAAAATCCTGAAGCTGTACTTTAGCAGCACACTAAATATTCTCTGCAAGTCTTGATTTAACATTTTGGACAGTTTTAAATCCTAAGTGAGTCACTATAATATGCATCTATCATTTCCCTCTCCTGGCCTAACAGTGGAAAATTTCAGCCTAGTTACTAAAAACTAATATGATCCTTAAGGAATTGCCATTGTATGACTTACTGAAAAAGGCTATGTCCTTCCAAGTTACTAGTCTGTTCAATTTTGGACTATATCTCCATGCTGAGAATCATCTAAAATAATCAAGGCTGTCTTACCATCCTTCAGAGACTGTGTTGCTGTAGACACCAGCCCGGTAACCGTTGTAGATGCTACTGAGGGCACAGACTACAGGTTCAAGAGGAAAAAACAAAACAGAATTTAAAAAAATCAGCAGTTTGATGGAAAATAATGTCAATCATTATCTTCTTTTTGTATCAAAGTTTATTATTATTATTATAGATTTTTAAAATTTCAGATCCACACTTTAAGCATCCCTCCCAAATTAAGATTGACATATACTGCTTGTATATGATACATAGATTATATGTGTATATGACACATACATTATATTATATTGACACATACTGCTTGTTTCATGCTCTTTCTCCTTATTCCATAGTCACTTCCCCTTCTAGTTTGGCGACATTAATGACATCACCAGAAAAGCTGGATTAAGAACTAACACCAAAACTAGCCTCAGGAAATACGTGATCTATTGCAACATACAGCTTTTTCCTATTGTGGCTGACTCAGACCCACAAACATGAAGATGACTCTTCATTTTTCTTTTTAAAAGTCTAAAGACTGGTGTACTGATATTAAAGGTAGTGAACTAAGAGCATGACCTTGAGAAAACACGGAGGTTTTTCAAGATTACTAAACTGCCAACATTGAAAACATACACAAGCAGGAGCAGATGTCACTGGAACGGTCTCTGGACTAAGGGTTCTTCTCAGCTTAGCATCCAGATCTTCCAGTGGCTGTTGGGACTGAGAAAGGAAAGAGTCAACAGCTGTCCCAGCTCAGGAGAAACACATCACATTGGAGAAACAACCATATTTAATACTAAAATTTAAAGCAGTCAGTACAGCTTCCGTATTTCTATCATGTTCCCTTTCTACACGTTTACATTTAACAGGTATAGCACAGGAAGACTGGAAGCAATTTAAGCAACACATATGGTAAAAAAACCCAAACAAACAGAAAAGCATTAACTGGAACTCCTGTTTTTCCCTGAAGTTACCATGAAGTTTACATTCCCACTCTTAAGAATCGAGCAAAGATACTGCAAAGCCTCAAACTTCTACATTTTTTTGGTTGGAGAATAACAGAGGTATTTTTGTATTATTGACTATCTAAAAATTTTGAAGGAAAAAGCCAGTTAGAAAAAATAATCACTGAAAAATTCAAAAAGATGCCCATAATTACAAAAGTAAGTATGGATAAAGCAGGATTATGGATAACACAAATTAAAAAATTAAATAAAAACCCCACCACTTACAAGTTCCCTCAAGGAAGCTATCTGGATGGATTGACTTGAAGAGAAGGAAGGGAGAGCAGCAGAATCTCTCCCAAGTATGCTTACTACTTAGATTTCAGCTGTCTGACTTGGCATCCAAGATGTTTTTCAAATTTGGCCAATTGAATTGGGGAGGGGAAGAGAAGAAGAATTACCTAAAAATATCTTAAAGATCAATTGGGATTCACTGAAAATTATTAGGGCCACACCCATAAGAAACATATGGAAGAAGAAAGTGTTGGCAAATATCACTAAATTGAAATTCTAACCTTATCAAGTAGAAGTTTCCTTCCAAACTTTAGCATCATTAATCTTTTCCAGTCTCTCATATTTAAAAGCTAAATCTGATGTTAGAACTGAAGCTGAAGACACAGCAACCTAAAAGCTTTACCTTTCACTTTCAAGAAACTGAAAGTTAGAGGCACACAAAAGCATAAAGATGCTTCCAAAACATTGCCAGGATGACATTCTTCCTCAATTGTGGACTTCAAAACACAACCAAAACAAATAGAAGAACAATAAAATCCATATAAATTCCATCCAAATAATAAAAAAAAGAGAGCAGAAGAGGATGCAGACTTCTCCGACTCCATCCAGAAATCCAAATGCTTAGCAGACAAGTGAGCTGATTAAACTCAATAATACTGTAAAATAAAGAGGACACTTCACCTGAAACACTACATCATTCTCATCAGTAATGCTCACAAGGTATTTGCTACAAGTAAAGAAAGAGCTGAGATATCAGAATGATCAGGAAATAAAGAGATTTCCTGATGGAGCAAGGGAACCAAAATGAAGCTTGAGCAATTAAATACACTTTGTAAAGTAATTAAGGAATAAACAGAACAGGTATTTAAGCCTAAGGAACAAACTGTCCAAAACTGGACTTGATATGTACTTTGCAGACTTGGAGTCTGGTACTAAGAAAAGCAAAAGAAGAAAGTTGTGCAATGAGCTCCTGACAGCAGCAGTAAGGAAGGCAAGCCTAACAACTTTAAGACAAGCCAGTAATTTTCCAGATAGTATTATGGGATAGCAGCAAATGCTCTGAACAGTCAATTAGATTTGATCCAGTTGGTCTCCTCTAATTTTGTCTCACCCCTAGACAGGCTTTAGAGTTGAAACGAGAAGTGAAGTTAGGTAAGCTGTTTGCAAAGGACAAGAAGCAAAAGGGATCTATATTTGTGCCTCTTCCATACCACAAACCCTGCCAGGAATACCTGTGACAAACAGGAAGAAGCTGTTCACAGTGGTGCAGTGGTTTGAGTCACGTCAGTGGCTACAAGTGCTTTGAGTTCAGTTTTGGGCCCCTGAGTCCAAGAAGGACATGGAGGTGCTGGAGCGTGTCCAGAGAAGGGAACGGAGCTGGGGAAGGGTCTGGAGCACAAGTGTGCTGAGTTCCCTTGTGGCTGAGGGAACTGGGGGTGTTGAGCCTGGAGAAAAGGAGGCTGAGGGGAGACCTTGTGGCTCTGTGCAAGTCCCTTGGAGGGGGGTGGAGAGAGGTGGGGGTGGGTCTGTTCAACCAAGGAACAAGAGGAAATGGCCTCAAGTTGCACCAGGGGAGGTTTAGATGGGATGTGAGGAAAAACTTCTTCACTCAAAGGTCAGTCAGGCACTGGAACAGGCTGCCCAGGGAGGTGGTGGAGTCACCTTCCCTGCTGGGATTTAAAAGACG